CAGCGTGGCAAGAAAACTTCTTACGAAATGTTAAGTATGGTTTCAGCGACTCGAGTTCAGAAACGTGGTGAGCCGATTCGAACGGAATAATTGATGGGGCAACCTTAAGGGTAAAGAATGAACGACAGGCAATAATCCATCTCAGTAATGCTTTTTCGGTAACGCGGACTTCAAGGCGAGTTGTGATTTGAAGAAATCGTAATTATTACTTCGCACTCGGGAATAGATGGGTTCTATCTTGCGTTTGCAAAATTGTTAAATTGCACATTAAAATCAGAAGACTGAGTGAATTGATATGTTCAAACAACATTCAGAATCATAAAATTGTGAACCTCGGGACGAATCGATCGATTCAGACGGTTGAGATTTTTTTTTGTTTCCCCGATTTGTTTTGTTTTGCTTTCGTTGCCTTTGTTTCTCATATACCAACTAAGAAACAAAAAAAAAGGGGGGGAGGGAACACTGAAAATTTGGCACAATACTGTAAGTAATAGGATGATAGAATAGTGCTGGGTTCACACAATTCATATTGACGACTGTGATTCACGGATGACGTCTAAAGAGACCCGAAACGATGTAGAGTAGATCTCTCGGCGCACGGTGGATCGAGTCAATAGGTATAGAGTCGGACAAAATTTGGAAACATTAAACGCTTATAACTCCGTTTGTATCCGACTTTGAAGTTCTGAAAGTGGTTTCATTGGTTTCCTCGTGAAACTTTCTTTGAGTAGCACCCCTTGAAGTCTAAAATGTGACAAATTAAAAATCAAAATTTTCAGTTTTAGTCAAAAATTTCATGACCGACCTGTCTGATTGACTCGATCCCTTGTGCAGTGTGACTCCAGTTTAGTACTCTAATGCATCTGTCTGAACCGAACTTTTTCTCCCTCAATCTTGCACTAATACCCATTATAGCTACTTTTTTATACTTGAATGCTGATTTCTGGAATTTTAGTCCCGAATTTCCCTGCAGAACAGTGTGGACCCAGCGCTGTTTTACCATCCTGTTACTAACAACAAAATTGACACGGCTGCGTTCAGCAGATAAAAAGATCACCCGGTATAAACGTTTCTACTAAAACAAGCAGCAAACAAGAACAGAGTCACATTTGAAAAAGACATAAGACGGAAGAGTTTCAAGCTTAGCTCACACTTACCTACTCCTGTCAAAAATTTTGAGTCTAGGAAAAATCTATGAAATGCAAAAACAGGTAATGAACTTTACCTCTGACATTAAGTCGAATGAAGGAATAAACCCTATTCTTGTTTTCATAATATTAAAGTAGGTCCATTTGTCGAACAAATTTCCTTTTATGATGTGTCAAGTTATTTCCACTAAGAAAGTTGTAAGATCTCAACGATGCGACGCTGGAAAGCACATGTATCAGTTGGCCTTCAAACCCCCGACACTGAGCGCTTATCAATCACGTATTTTCTCCTTTTTTCTTCTTCTCGGATTCGAGTATCTTAATAAATCAACTCACGAGAGACCTTGTACCGATATTTACGAAAAAGCTTTCAAATTCACTTATACTAAGTTTGAAGGAATGCTCTGGAGGTCTCTGGGGTCGAAATGGGGATCGGAGGATAAAAAAGAACCTTGCATGCCATCTTCGAAGACGATAATGAACTAATTAGTATCAAAGTCGTGCGTTTGAATCTTCGATGGTCCATATCGGGGCTGAATTGAACCGATCACCAGTGGTATGGCAGTCGTCAAAACCTTGACCAAAATCAAGAGGAGCCTACATTGAGTCCATTCACATCGTGCGTGGTAAAAATCATCGAATTCTCGTCCAAATTATTGGAAAATACAATGGATTTGTCGTAACCTGGAGGTTGTTGCAAGACTAAACACAGCAGCAGAGTCCCTGAACGTAAAAATACATTTTTAAGCCTGGTAGATACTTAGTTTTAGTATGAGTTCAAAAAACTCTTGGTTTCATGAAATCATAAAAATGTTACAATCTGTCTTGTCTTGTTGATCGTAAATCTTACCTAATATTTAGCACTATTATTACATAGGGTCGAGAAAAAAAAAATCAACTATATTCAATCCAAAAATTGCTTAAATATTACTTACTAGTTTGTTAAACATTATGTACCAAATTTATCTTCCTAAATTCACAAAATAACGCAATATCATCGACATGGATATTCAATTTCAATCTCACGTACATCTTAACTTAATTTCGCAGTCAGAAACTATACTATTTTTGACTCATGCATAGAAGTAATTATATGCACGGGGAATTTGATGTCACATATGTTGTTTCTTTATCGATCAAAAAAAGTGTGTTCCTTTTGGTGTAATGCAGTACAAGTATTTGAGCCCGACTACTTGTCCCCAACTCCCCAATTCGAAACCAAGGAAAATTTTTCGGATTTAGTTACATATGAATCGTGAATTTTTTTTTATGACTAAAAGTTACGAATAACAAGAAACCCTAGTCGATCATTCATTCAGTCTGGGACCCTCCTCCTGTCTGCAGAGTAAGTGGCCATCCGTCTGCACTGACAATACCAATAACAATGACAATGGAACACGCCCTAACTCTCGCCTGGATAGATAAACTTGGCCAAGGTTGCCACTTCATCATCACGAATCTGAAAGCTATCAAATAAAGACAAAACATATTAAATATAGATTCTCAGTAGAGTGGTACCGGCAGATAGCATTGCAACATAAAATCGGAGTCCTGTATCCTCAGAAGGAAACTCTACGTCTGATTCCTATTCGCTTATTTTTTTCGGGGCTGTTTGTAAAATACGTAACGCTCGGTGGGAGGAAAGGTCCAGGAAAACGTTTCAGCATTTTTTCACGTGTTACTGACCATGAACTATGGATCATGCGCTAGGTAATGGGTTTCACCTCTCAAAATTTCATTTCTCAATTTCCTCATTCATGCAGTCTGGTCACCGATGGCAAGCCCAGCCCCCCCTTCCCCTTGTTTACTATAGCTACTACTCAAAGCACATGTAGGTATTAACATGGATATAATCCCCAATAAATTGTACACAAAATTACAAAGCCAGATGTTCATATGCTTGTAGGATTGAGCAACTCTATTGAAGAAACAATCTACCCACGAATTTAATTGACGATCGAAAATATTCGGCGTCTTCTTGCGGTCTTGCTCTAAAACAGTGTGAATCTTCAGTAACTACCGTTCAGACTTGACACCTCCGAGCTTTGCGACCTGACAATCAAAATGATACACCTCGACCGCGGCTGCCAGTCTGGAGAAAAAAGCTTTCCCTTTTTGCTTTGGTTTACAGAATGAAATTACTTGGGGTCTCCGGGCAAAGTGACAACTCCTCCTCAAATATAGAGCGTGGGTAAGGGACATTGTTCTGGGGGTTTCGGATTGTTTAACCGTGTTAAATTCATGCCCCGAACCACGTGTTAAATTGAGCGAAAAATAATGTATGCTATATGTACCTAATTGTTGCAAATGAAATAGGTGGAGGCGTGAGGGTATGATTAGAACTGCACTTATTTCTTAAATATCATTTTACTTATTTGCAATATTTATCCAAACCGCACAAAAAGCAAGGGCACGCGGCATCACGATCGATGGAGAGTATTTTACACTTGGACTTTATTTTACAATTGGGAACTACAATGTCTATCACAGTTCAGAAACAATATGCGTACTATTAGTTTCTCTATCCACTTCAGTGTTTTTACGGAAGAGGCAGAAATTGTAGTTCCTAACTGCAAAATGTAATCCACTATATCCGAGTCCATCTGATGCGTTAAACTGTAAAGATGGGCTGCAAACTTCAAAACTTCATAACTCCGGTTTAGTTTAGCATTTATGAGCAAATATGTTTGTAAAAAGTCTATTGTATTCTGATATTGATAACTGAACTTCAAATTTGAGTACACGAAGATTCTCTTCCTTGTTAACGTCACTTACGTTCAAGTGCTAATCTTTTCACTTAAATATTAAATGCAAAATAATTATCAACGGTGCGTGGGTTTCAAATTATTTCAAATATTAATGTGCAAGCACTATTCTGAAAATTTTCCTTCGCGATCTTTTCTGTTAACATCCAGTGGTTATAGGAGACCGCTATAGACGTAATTAAACATTTCATCATTTTGTTTAAGTTTTCAATACTGATTAATTTCCGGTGTATGTTCGTGTTAATTATTGCGAGGAAGAGCTCGGGCCGAAGAGGTGGATACGAGGGCTCATTCTCAGCTTGTGACCGGAATAATTCGAGAACGCCTAAACTGACCGGTGAAATTGTGCGAAAAACGAAAGCTAACAATTGATTTCGTCTTCGTCCACTCCACGCAGCGTGACGGTCAGGATGGGAACTTTATTTGAATGTTGTTCACCGCAGAGCATTAATTTACTTCTACCACCGACCATAAATAAAACCGTAACCGCAAACCACGTGAATACTGGTATTGCAGATGCCGAATCTCCCTTAAAATAGTCCGAGAACTATTGAGTCGTAAAGTAAAATGCTTGTGATATACATATTGAGAATATTTTGGTACACCAACTCAGAGTTTCTAATTGCACAGTGTACATAAACAAAGATCCTATTTTAATCGATTTTTTATTACATTTTTACCGATGTGATTTTCCTTGAATATTTCGTCAATTTTCCGGCAAAGTCTCCAATATTATTTCTTATGGGCAATTTTGAGTTGCATCTTAAAAATTAAAAAAATTGCACACTAATAAGCGCGTTTTGTTCCTTCAATAAAAAAAAATAAAAAAAAAAAAAAAAAAAAAAAAGGACGGTAAGAGGAATTTCGATATTATTGAAATATTGCGTAGCACAATACTCGCATGCTCCCACAAAAATGTTCCTTAAACATCATATCTAGCACCTGACATCAAATTGGAATTTTATCGTCAACGATGAGAGGTGTTCGCGATAAATTGAACTGAAGATTGTTCATTTTGATCTTGATAAATCGTAAGTGAGGATCGTTAGCAAACCGTATTAATGTTGTCTTTTTTCCTTTGTTTCAGATGAGGCAGAAACTGCCGTCCCTCGCGGGGCAGGTTCTTCTTTTGACAGTATTGGGTTCACCTGCCATTCTGTCAGCGGAACAATGGAGCCGCCCACTGGCGGAAAGAAAATCGGACGACTGGATCCCAATCCCAAAGAACCCACAAGTAAGGCAGGCTGAGCACGGCAGAGATCTGAAGACATCAGCATCGACGTCAATCGATCAGATTGGAAGTTTATTGACCCCACCGGTGCCCCCTCAGCAAGTGTCTCAACAATCGCGAGTTTTGCGTAACCCATCCCCACAACTGACCGGGAATGGATTCTTCAACCCGCAATTCAAGGCGCCTCCTCCGTCGCCATCAAAGTCGCCGAATCAAAATTTCTTCCAATTCTCGACCCCCCAGTCGTTCCCACCGAGGCCGCAGCCATCGCAGCAAACTTTCAAAAACGAAGCCGTGAATAATCAGTTCAACTCGTTTCTGAGCCAAGATCCTAATGGGTTCTCTTTGACGTCCGTGCCTAACCAATTCGGACCACCTCAGCAAGTTTTGTTCCCACAGACACATTTTCCTTCCCCATCATTTTTCCAAAATCAAGCTTTCGGAGACCAAAGCTTACCAGGACGCGCACCATCAGTGCAACAACCACCTAAGCCAAGTGAGCCTACAAGAACATCCAAGGTCCGCTTCCCTGAATCTAATTCCGGAGAAGATGGGAAAGAGGAGATTCAACTTCTGTACGTGCCGGTAGAAACTCTTGCCCAAAGAGGCCGAACCCCGAACAAACTGAAACCTAATGATGGTAGCAAATTTAGAGATGGACCTCCCCCAAGTCAGCCAAACTTCTTCCCGCAGCCGCAGATTCCTCCACAATTCTCTGGCTTCCCGCCATTCCCTCAATTTAACCAGCAAGAATTCCCACCCGTACCACAATTCATTGATGACTTCAGCGTTAAACACAGGTTCAACAAACCGCAAGAGAAACCAACAGAAAAACCACCGGTATTCCAAAATCAGTTCATACCTCAAACCTTTGCACAGCCCAAATTCCCGCAAGAGGCGCCTAAAGACCAGCAAAATGTCCAACAAGACTCCCAAAAACAACCACCCAAGTCTACCGTAGATTTTGCCGCTTTAACACAACAGTTTGCTCTCCCAGAAAAAGCTCAATCCAATTTCCAGTTCGAATTTGGACCTCAAAACTCACAACCAAACTTCCCAACTGCACCACAGCCAGGGTTCTTCGCTGAGCCTCCACAGAGTTTCCCCGCGCAACCCCAGCAGGGTTTCGTTCAGTCTCAGTCCTTCCCAGAGCCTCAACAAAAGTTCAACCAACCCAGCACCACCACTCCTAAAAGTGCTGAGACGAACTTTAGACAACAAGAGGTCTCACAATCGATTAACGAGGTAACACCCACCAAATCCTCATTCCCTGAGACATCTCCGAGTCAACAACCGGCCACGAACGAAGCACCAGCCAACGCACAACAATTACCAGGAATGACATTGGCCCAGTTTGCAGCAAACGAACAGTTCTTCCCTCAATTCCCAGAGCAACCCGCTTTTGCTCAGCCAAGTTTCGACCCAGCACCGCAACCCCAGATCCCTCAATCACAGCCCCAATTTGAGAGCCGGCCTCCATCAACCACTTTCTTCCAGCCACCACAACAAGACATTTTCCGACCATCCCCACCTTTGCCACAAGAAGATTTCCAAAATCAGCCATTCAACTCCCAACCTCAATTCACAAGCGGACGAGTGCCTGCTACTTTACCACCACCTCACCAGCCACCCCTTTCAGTCTACATGGAAAACGTTGCTAAATCAAAGGTTGGGGAGGTTTTGAACTTGTTGAAGAACTCTAAAACTATTCCGGTTTTAGACAATGTCGGCAAGGATACTCCTCAAATATTTGTTGGACCATCCAGTCTAGAGCCACCTGCAGGTTACGTCAAGTTTGAGCTTCCGTACTTATCTTCCTTGGACACCAACCGCATCGAAAGGAAGGTCGACAAACTCCCCTTCTTCGTGGCACCATTGAATTTCCAACCACCTAGCGGTTACTCCAAGATCCCATTCCCTGCACCACACATTGGGTCAGTTGTCGTGTCAAACGCGACTATCTTAAGAGCGGCTCTGCACGAGAAACCATTTGAACAACAAGGCATATTTGAGCAGTCCACACCTTCTCAGCCGCTCTACACTCTGCCTTCTGAGATAAATTCAATCAGTCCGTCTCAAGTGAATTCTCTGCAGACTACACCCCAATTCTACACAGAGGAACAGCAACAAGTCACAGAAACAACTACTCAGAGGCGAACTCGTTATCGAACCACGACCCCACCGTCCTCCAACTATCAACCCCAAAGACGCCCATCTTCAGGCACTCGTCAAAGGAAGCCATTACACAGAGGATTCCCCAAGTCACAATCAACAACTACAACAACGACTGAGATCCCTCAGGAAATTTCAACAGAGGCTCAATACGTTCCACAACCAGAGGTCACACAGCCGAAAACCCACTTCGGAACGCAAGATCAGTTCATTGAACAGACCATAGTCCCCGCAGGTGAACAAGGAAACGCAGAGAAACAGCCACCCAGTGAACAGAACTCGCAAATAACTCTCGACCAATATTTCCAACAACAACAACAACGTCAACAACCATCCCAACAGTTTGATGTTCCTAACCAACCCACGGCAGAAGGTGGCCAAGTCTACGCAGAGCAATCCAACGGCCAACAAAGTCCTCAAGATCAACAGTACTTCAGTCAGGGCTCTCAGCAGTTCGGCCAGGATCAACCAACGTTTAATCAAGAGCAAAAGCCGGCGGAAGACCAGTACACATTCCAGCCCCAAAAATCTGAAGGTCAGAATGAAGCCACCCCCGCAGTAGAAATCAGCAGCCAAAATTACCAGAACATCCTGTCACCATCCCAGTACCACTCAGAAGTATCCGGAAAAGATCAATACATAAAATCAGAGAGAGTTCCGGAGCAAGCACCGGTCCAACAGTCCGTCAATGGTGAGCCAACCTACCAGCAAAACGACCAGATTAACACGGTCAACGAACAGCAATATGTAAGTCAAAACCAAATTGATCAAAACAGCTACAGACCGACCGAGACTCGTTACGAGCAACCTCAGCCACACACGACAGTTGCATCTTACGTAGAGATAAATGAGCCGGAGACAGAGAAACCTGAAAAGTTTACGAAAACCAAGAACAAGTTCTTCGAAAAGACGCAAGAGCGCAAGGAGTACACCATTCCGGACCAGACAAGCATTCTTCAAGCGCATCAGAGAATGAACGCATTCCTCGCACAAGAACAAGCTGACAGTAGCACTTCCCCACAAACAACCGTGACGACCGAGGAGACGACAACGAAGAAACTTAGAGGAAAAGTGCGTGCTCGACAGAGGTACCAGGGTAGAACGTCAACAACCGAGACCCCTGAGGAACAAAATTACCCCAAGAACTTCCGCACGCAAGAACAAGCCGATCGAACTAGCCAAAACTACCCTGTTTACAGACCCACAGAAGCTGCAGTTACCGAAGAAACCGCCTCCTCGGAAAGTACCCCATCAAGGGTGGACAAGTACAACAGATTCAATCGAAGGAGGCCCCTGCGACCAGCATCTACTTCAACCACCACTTCAAGCTCTGAGGAGGTTTCAACCGCTGCAACCAGGACTCGAGTGAAAGCAACCAGAGCACCACCAACAGCCTCTAGAGCTTTAAGTGGCCGAACCAGATCGAGAAGGCCCGGCACATTGACCACCGAGGCTCCATCAACCACCTCAACTACCGAATCTGCTTCGACGGAAAGTTTGGACTGGGGCACGTACGTCAATAGTTTTGCCCCCTCAGCAGGAGCCAACGAGATTGCGAGTCCGTATGATGACAAATCCATAACCTTCCACAATATCGAATCCCACAGGAGAAACCCCAGCTACAACAAGGTGAAGAATGATGGTTACTGGAACAACGGCGTCACGATCCAACAAAGCGAAGGAGTTGAGGTGAACCCGGAGACATTCGCACCCACCGAGTCCACTGCTGCGTCGCGGTCTTACACGAGAGCCGACACGGAGAGCAGCGCGACAACCAGAGGACTCGACAGGAAGGCACTATACAGACAGAGGCTCAGGCAAGGTGCTGTTCAGAATGACGAAGTAAATGTTGCAGCTCAACAGAATCAGCTGAGGAGGGCTAATGCGCATAAGGAGAGAATTGCGGCTAAGAAGTTGGCTGAGGCCCGAGACCGGGATGCAACTACCTATGATGGAAACAGCTTGCAAAGCGAGGGACGTCAAAGAGGAGAGGAGGATGGTCAACAGAACAGAGAAACAAGCTCACAGAGTGAAGGAAGACAGAGAGGTGACGGTTTTGACAATCAGCAGAACTTTGAAACGAACAGGGACTCAGACGCCGAGCAACAGAGGAATACTGAATCAGCCGCTGGTAAAAAGGTAATGAAACATATTTCCACTCCTATATTAAACAGTAAGAATCACATGCAAAATCGATCGGTTTAGGTAGTCATAAAATTTAGTTTTGGTGATTTACGCTCACAGAATAGTAGTAATAAATGGAATTTAAGTGTATGTTCGTCCTTTGTCCAATATTAGCGGAGACATCAACCTCTGAAAGTAACATCGATGACGTCATACACGGTGTCTTTTACAGAGCGACACGGTTCTTGCTATTTGACACAGAAACTGCATGCTCGGATGGGTCTTATAATCCAAGCTGAAGTCATCATACTACAAATGCTTTGACAAATTTAGATTTATTATCTCTTACATTTATTTCTGTGATGTACATAAAAATTTCGTATAGACATTTAAAAAAGCGCCAAAAAGTTGGGTTGAGAGATAATATCAAAGGTGATTTTTCGGAAGGATCAAAAACAAGAAGATGGTAACTGGTAAACTAAAATCAATTTTTTCTCTATGTGTTTCAGGCTGTAGTTGGACGCAGGCGAGGCGCCTGGGTGCGAGTCCGCGTAAAGAAGCCGCAAGACGTGTTCGAAACCGCCGAATCTCAGAGCTTTGCTAAACTCTCCGGAAACGCGCTGAAGAACATCGAAAAGCCCCAGCCGGAAGCCGGGAAGGAACAGTACGTCAAGCAAGTCTCCGTGGACCAAGTATCTCTAGTCGCAGACCCCGCTCAAACCAACCCGATCCCGGAGGAACAGAAACCCGAAGAATCATCGCCACAGCCGGAGACACCGGAAGTAACCGCGCAAGATTCGGCCCCGGAGGACACCCCGGAAGTCACCCCCGAAGACATCAGCCCTCAGGTCTTCCAGAAGGACATCGGGGACATGATCCGGCAGATCATCAACGGGGAGAGCGAGGTCGACGAGGCCGAGAGCCACAGGGACCAAGAGTCGACGGAGGTGGCCGACGACCGACAGGTCAGCGAGATGCTTGTCGCCACGACGACCCCGGTCGCGCCGAAGAACGTCTCAGTGGCGACGACGACGACGGAACTGGAGGCGGAGACGACGCGGCATCCGGAGGAGGAAGTGACGACATACGCCACAACCATCGAGCCGGAGGCCGAGAGGAGCCGGCCCACCGAACCCATCACGAGGAGGGCCGTCCCCACGGCGACCACGACTGAGATCTCCTTGGAGACAGAGATCTGCTACAAGGGAAGGTGCGTGAAGAGTAAAAAGACTAAAGCAACTGACCTCCTGCCTTCGGAATAGAATGTAAATCTGTAGAGGAGCCCATTTGCAAAATATTAAGTTTTGGGTCTGAAAGGTCTCTCTCCATCTCGTTCTCTCCTTTTCTCGGTCTCCTCGTCTTGTGACCCCCGCCATGTAGACGAGATGTACCGCTGCGTTATGGAAGGATAATTGTTACGAAGGGATCAGCTGAAAAACGAGGGGGCGTGTTTAGGTAATTCCTTAAAAAGTTGCATAAATTCTGCAGATCATTAATTTCTTCGGAGGGAAAATCACTGCGCATTATTCCTTTGGAATGCTGTATCAGTTGAAAACTCATGTCGACCAACTGCTTTGTGAAATTAGGAATCTGGAAAATTTGAGCAGCACTAGAATGAAATAATCAGCCACTGATTTGAACTACCTATTTAAATACATAACACTTGTTTCGCTGACACTGATAGAATACTCAATATTCTCGTTTCATATCGTACTGCGGGAAAAATCGTCGCTTTTAGTGAGATGAGAGAATGAGCTATTCGGGTATCCCTTGCTCAATGATCGCCTCTTACTTTTTGTTAAAGAAAAGAAGAGTGGAGGAACTACAGAAAAAAGAGACCGACGAAAAGAAAACTAAAGAAAAGAAGTCTAAGAGTCCAGAAAAAAAATAATTAAGTATCATTCTATGGTGAAATACTGGACAAAAATGAGCCCTAACACTTAGGTTCTTTAATCACACTGCTTCATACAATTCTGTGTCAAGGAATAAATACTTTTTCCATTTAATTAAAAAACTTACAGGTGAAAAAACGGGTACCATTGGACAGTTATGGTAGCTTCTATGCAGACTTGATGTTGCTGAATACATTCAAGGATAATAGATTCTTTTGAACTTTCAAAGTTTAAAAAATGTTACCTAAGGTCAAAAAGAAGGAAAGAAAAAAAATAATGTTATCAATGAGTTCTTTTCAGTTGATTATTTTCGTTGGTAAAATTTTGAGGTCAGAATTTTATTCACAGAATGCATTGATGTGGTGCAGTGACATGAGATTTTAATACCCCTATATTTTCCTGTAACAAAATCATTTACTCCACTACCCTCTGAATGTAGTGGATTGACTTAAGTCTGTAGATCTTTCTCTGCACCTTTGATTCCCATCAGAGTACATCTGGTAGCAAATAAAGATTTGGAACTCAAAATATCCTAAGCGGTAGCAAGTGTTGCCGAGATTGTGCACGCTGTTTCTCACCGAGGAAGAACCATATAACGTCTTATGAATTTCCCATCTAAGGATTTCTGAATTTGAATTTTGATTTCAAGACAATAATTTTTGTCCCGCGGTCAACTGGAGTCCTCATAAATGGAGAAATAATAATTGCACAATCTTCTCATAGTACGCACGAAATTTTTAATTTCCATTCTTTAAATGTACTTACTAAATAAAAGAGGCGTGGTACCTACTATGATACTTTATGCGTCACATAGGTTTGTTTTGCTATCCAAATTGAAAATTTAGGAGATTCACAAATTATTTCAAATATTTCGCTTATGAGTAAGAATCTTATTTCGTACTTATACCGAATAATCTATACTCCAGTCGGGTAACATTATACTCCAAGAAACCAAAGCCGTCAGATCACCTTATTTTTGTCACAAACTAAAATATGGTGAGTCACTAGGTTTTTGTAGTTTTTAACTTACACTCAAGTCTTTGATTCCACTCACATCATGATAAGACCTACCGTGTGATTAAATATTTGTTTAAGAACTGATCGTCAAGTCAAATATGTTTCAAATTAAGTATGTAAATATGTAGTACGTATGTTAATGTTACTTAGATTTTAAGTATTTAATTAAGTAATTCAATGTACTGTTTTGAGGATTTCTATATCTTCACTTTTAAAAACCTGCAATCAACTTAGATAAATAACAATGCCATTTGATGAATAAGGGGCCATAAAGAAAAGTTGAAGAAAAATAATTCAGGTAACAACGAAATTATCACCTGGAAACTTCAATTTAGAAAGACTTTCATACAAATATCAGGTTCTCTATGATCAAAATTTCTCATCCGCATCAAAATGAATCATTGCCAAAAGTAAGGGTGTGAGGCGTGTTAAATGCAGATGAACTTATCATTTCGTCATCTCAATAGATTTTTGAAATTTACATTTTTTTTTTGTCCTCAGGGTCTCCATGAGACTCATAGACCACACACTCCCAATAAAGGTACTCTAAAAGTAAAAAAAGATTCGCGGCTTCTGCGCTTCAGTTTCGAACCATACTGCCGTGCTAAGGAAGAACGCCGTATGAGCCATCAGACGTTGCCAAGTTTCCTCCAATAAAAACCGAATTTACTGGGAAAATTGCGAATATTGTTTTTCGAAATTTTTAGACAATTTTGTACGCAATTTATTCTAAAATATCTGGAAATTTCCAGGAAAAATCTGCATGAATGTGGTCAAAAATCCATGTTTTATCGAGGGAAATTTGGCAACTCACGAGTGTTCATATGGCGTTTTTCCGTAGCACGGCGGCATAGGCAACGATGCCGTAACAACGGATAACAGCTGAAAATTGAATTGCTCGAGGTCAAAGCACACCGAAGACCAACTGCTAGTCAACAAATGACCTACATCGCCCCACTAGATTCCCGACACCATTCTTGAACGTGAACGTTCAATGCTCTCTGCGAAATAACGTTCACTGCACTCTCATTTGGACGTATTTCTATCAAACGGAACTATGTGCATTAAGACATGAGCCCTGAGACTTATAAGAATATGTGCATAACAGGGCTCACGTTAAAATGCACATAGTTCCGTTTGATAGAAATACGTCCATTTAAGAAGTCTCAATTCAGGATCTATAAGAATCCAGACACCATTTAAAGGTGCATTTCAACGAGAGAAAAACTTATATTATGGTCATAACTGGCCCGGTATTTTTGGCCCTCAAATCTTAGACGATGAGGAGGCTTCATAATTTAAAGGCCCAGTTGAGTCATTTTTGGAAAGGAAGGGTATAGATAGGACCCGCCCTGGCTAAATTTCCTCAACTATACGATTTTTTTCTTATTGAAAGGTCTACATTTTATGGAATACACCATGATCGGTTATTTTCGGTCTCTTTACAAGTTTAATACTGGCCGAGGGTCTGAGGCCAGCGACGGCGAAAAATGCTGATTTTCCGGCATTCCAACGCAAACCGGCATTTTATCAAAATCGACCTTTCAGACCCATTTTTAGGCCAGCGACAGATGTAAAAAGAGATCGAATTGTGATGTGTTCCGTAGAGTAAAGAAATTAAATAAGCAAATAATTGTAGAGTTAAGGGAATTCAGGGTGAGTCTAGAAACAGCCCTTATCGATGTCCCTGCATGTTTTTACTTCCCCTCTTTATCATGATGTTAGATTTGAGGCTGAGGATGACGAAAATTCCAAAATTTCACGGCTAAGCATATCGACAAAAAACGCCCAAAGTAAAACCTTGATTTTGACTGTATTTTCTTGTCCACCAGTGAGCTTGATTTTAAAGTATGAAGAGGTGTGTCAGCGTGTCACTGCCAAGCTGTGACACAGTGGCGAGAAGAGAATGATCGCTTATCGATATTTCCTCCATTTGAAGACGTAGTAAAGAATCGATTATTCTGGTCTGGTGTTCGTTGAGACCAACCTGTTCATCGATCCTTTCCCATGAGTTCAGATGGCAGATCAATCGATATATTGCAAAACACGCTATCACGGCATCCAATGATCGAGGTGAATCATAAGAGGGAAAACCAGCCGAAAGTTAAACTCATTGGCCCGACTAGAAAGTGAATGAGTTATACCTGATGCCATACTTATTTAAAGATACGATTAATTATTAACAAATTGATGAAACTTGGCGCCCTCGCGGGTTACCGACAGTGGCGTGGCGTGAATTGCGATATATCGATTGTCATTCCATTTAAACCCATAGAGCAGGATCGATAAACAGGGTGTTCGCAGCGAACACCTTAATAATCGATTCTTTACCATAGGTTTAAACGGCATAACAGTCGATAAATCGCAATTCACGCCACGCCACAGGTTACCGAAGCATCTAATCGTACGAGTTTCGATGAAATAAGAACCTCCGAACTCAAAATTTAGTTACTTTTCTTTAGATAAGACGTGTCTCTCTTTTTTCTAAATTTTGATAAGTTATTAGATTGCGAGTGTGAATGAGGACACCTTACACGTCAAAAGGGCTAAGTGCATTACGATTTTGTTGAGAGAAAATTCAATGACGTTTACGGTCTGAATGGACGTTGCATTAAATAATCATTGTCAAGCTGAGGAGGTACATCTAAATTAAATCATGATCACTCAATTTTGTGAGGTGTATGTTCATGCTCATGCTCCATGCGATTTTTTCGAATTAAAACCTTTGGTAAAATATTTGATCGGTAGATCTTAAAAATAATACGAAAGCCCGCTTTGCGCAAAAATATATAAAAAAATAAAATGAAATATGTTATTTTTACTCGATGTTCTCGACTCAGTGATGTACCTGGTCCTATTGGCCTGTAAGGAACTCAAATTATTTATTTATTTAGGTTATTGTATGAATTGTACATTCGCTAATATTAGAACAATGTATATTTTAGTTAATTTGTGGTGCTCAATATATTAGGCCGGGAGGTTGCATTGGTGCGCCGATTAAAACAATTCCCATTAGAAGTTCAAATGTGTCGGCTAAAAAGGTATCGTATTTTCCCACTATACGACGCATGCGAGTGGGTTTTTGACTTCTTGTTAGTTTATTGTTGTGTACCAGCAAGAATTATGTATACGGTAATTGTTCTATGAAATTTAGGTTCAAAACGAAATAATAATAATGAGAAAGAAAATATGCTGGCTCTGCTGATATTAAAAAATTACCATGTTAGTAAGATCCATTCGCCAGCTTTAAAAACCGTACTAAGCCCAACTACATGTCCAGATAATTAATTTATGTATTATAATTTTTAAAGAAATTATCTTAAGATGTAAATTAAAATATCGAATATATTTTTTTTTTCTAATTGTATACTTGATGTTTTTTTATTCAATGCACTTCAGTGATGATCCCTGGGTAAAATCAACATATTCTAAAAGGCCTACGGATTTTTTGAAGTCGACAAAACGACGAAGATGAGAAAAAAAACTGGAAACTAGGGAAATACAAGTCAAGGTGATTCGATGGACGCTATATTTTAAGTTAGAACGACATCCGATATATCGCATCGGTTGGTTCCATTTTTTCAGCCACTCGTCATTTTTATAGAATTTTGAGATCGCAATTCTGTTGTCAGGAGACTAAGAATTCGCTTGCCAATTTTGACAAACAAGTTAAACGTCATAAACGCGTTATTTTTAAAGAGGAAAAATATCGCATTCGATACTGATATCGAAACTGCACTCGAATGCGATATTTTTCCTCTACAAAAACCACGCGTTTATTACGTTTAATTTGTTTGTCAAAATTGGTAAGTGAATTCTTCAGTCTCCTGACAACAGAATTGCGATCTCAAAATTCGAGAAGAATGACGAGTAGCTAAAAAAATGGAGCCAATCGAAGCGATATAAGTCGTTCTGACGCAAAATATGGCGCCCATCGAATCACTTTAACAGCTCAGTTGTCTATTTGCACATGTTGATGGTGCTTTGAATTGAACTAAAGGAATGGACCGCAAAATCAGTGAGTACAACGCAAGCGTATCTCATCGTCAGTAAATTCAGACACGATATCAATAGCAACGCCTGTACCAAGGCCACTATTCCTACTTTAAGGATAGTTAAGTTGCATATCAAAATATTGAAGGCGCTTCAGTTTTTCCAGCGACTCAGTGGCGCTCCTCGCGAGGGGAACTGAAGGCGATGATTACTAGGTCTAAGGCGGAAAGATGGAAAGATGTGTTGGAGGCAGTCGAAGAGGACCCCTGGGGAGAAGGCTACAAAATTGTCACTGGGAAGTTTCAGCCTATCGATCCGTCCACTCTCCCATCCAAGTCGGAGAAACTGAAGATCGCAGAGGATTTGTTCCCCGAGGGACCGTCCTTCGAAAGGGAGATTTTTGACGTGGCGGAAAATGACATCCCGCAGTTTACTGAAGAGGAGCTAAAAACAGCGATAAGTCGAGTCAAAGGTCGAAAGGCCCCGGGGCCGGATGGGCTGCCTCCCGAGGCAGTGAAACTTTTCGTCCTTAAAAATATAAAAATTTGCTTAGCCATGTTCAACGTTTGTCTGTTGTTGGGCATTTTTCCTCTCTTATGGAAGATTTCTAAATTGCTACTATTGCCCAAACCAAGAAAAACACCAGATTCGCCGCTGTCTTTCAGACCTATTTGTCTCATAAACGTTCTCGGAAAGATCTTGGAAAGACTAATTGTGGTCAGACTAATACAAGAATGCCCCGACCTGGCAGATAACCAATTTGGCTTCCGCCCTGGCCGCTCGACTGTGGATGCAATAAAACATATCACCGATTTTGCGCGTTCCAACTGGCGTCTAAAGGGGCACGGCACCGTTCTGACAATGCTAGACATTAAAAATGCTTTCAACAGCGCACAATGGCATTTAATTCTTGAGGCTCTCCGGCTACGAAACGTTCCCCCGTACTTAATACGAATAATCCAAAGTTACTTTCAGGATAGGTACCTGATAATAGAAGACGAAGTCCGACGGCTCTCGTGTGGAGTCCCGCAGGGGAGTGTCTTAGCGCCATTTTTATGGATCGTATTGTATGACTCCGTCGTTAAGGGAGCTTTACCAATGAGCAGTATTCTGTCGGCCTATGCTGATGACGTAGCCATTGCTACATCGGAGCGTAGCGCCTGGGCCATTGGAGATCGGGCGTCTGCTGCAGTGCGATATACGGTGCAACGGATCGAGGCTTTAAAATTAATTGTTGAAGCTACTAAGACGGCGGTAGTCCTTTTATTCTGTAAACGATCTGACTTGAACGTAACCGTGAAGGTGAAGGATACTGTGCATACACCAACGAAACACGAGAAGTACTTGGGGGTCTGGCTCGATCGAGGATTGAACTTTTCTTACCACGTCAAAATGACAGCAGCTAAAACAAGACGGATAGCCGGTTTTTTAGTGAAGATCATGCCTCTGCAAGGTGGATGCTCATTTAGAAAGCGACGCGTGCTTGCCTCAGTCACAACCAGTATTCTAACCTATGCGGCTCCTGTTTGGGTCCATGCGATGGATGTCAAAGTTAGTGCGGCAAAGGTCATTGGCGCCATGCGACCGGTCAAGATCCGAATCTGCTCGGCCTACCGCACGGTTGCAAACGAGGCGCTGGATGTCTTAACGGATGTCCCGCCGGCAGATCTTTTAGTACGACGAGTGGCAGACAGGTACAACCTTTGTGATACAGTGCGCGCACAGGAAAATTTGTTGCAACAGTGGCGCCAGAGATGGCTTGAAAATCAAAAAAATACAGCAAAGTGGACTAGAATTTTGATCCCTGATTTGGACGTGTGGTGCCAGCGTTCATTTGGTTACCCCAATTTTTTCACTACACAGCTCTTAACCGGCCACGGGGCTTTTGGGAAATATTTGTTCAAACTGAAGTTGTGCGATTCACCCATGTGCGGGCATTGCGGGCTGATAGATTCAGCGGAACATGTGCTTTTTCATTGCCAGCGGTGGGGTCGCGCTCGGCGAGATTTGTTCGAAGTGATTGGTGGACAGTGCCTGCCTGGGGAGCTAATTGGGACTCTCTTGCAGGATCGGAAATATTGGCGAGCTTTTGAGAGATTTGCGGAGATTGTTCTATCAGAAAAAAGGCGAAACTTCACAACTAGGCGGTTTGTGGTTGGTCCGATCATTTAATTCAATTATTGTATTATTTACACTGTACATGTTCTGAGCACCCACAATGTTTGTCAGTGGCTGGACGAATTGTGGGAGGCGACAAGATTTTCCCCACAAGGCTTTTGCTTGCTTCCATGGTTGGTCCTCCTTACTTCATAATAATTAATTAATATCTATACAAGTATTTACAAGTATTTACAATTGTTACTTAATTTCTCGGGGTCGCGTCTTTCGTTCCTCCGGAGAGTCTGATTGGCACCTATGCATATTTTTATACTTTTATCGAGTCTTTTATAGTTTTCATTGTGACAAGTTTATGCAGAATCAGTGTGCAAGGGATGTGTTAGTGGTGACTAGCGACAAGTAAAATGATGGTGAGTGGTGATGTGAATAGTTATAAATAGTGCCTAATTTAGTGTTTGTTTATTTTAAGTTGCCTCTCGGGGGAGGGGTTGAGACTCTCTCTTCCCTTCCCCCTGTTAACGCAGGGGATCTGTCTGTGGATCTGGGGTTTGACGCTCCCCCGTACCCGAGTTAGCCGGCAAATTGCTAGAGATAGTCGGCTACCCTTCGACCCCGTAGACTGCCACCTCGGTGACTTTCTCGGGTTTCCTCCTCCCGCCTTTTGGCGGGATAGGCATCCCCTGATGTTGCCGCTCCACTGTGCCTGCGTCCTCGGTCGTTAGCCCACATCCTGTCGCGGCGGCAACGCGGCGGCAGATCAAGCGGGATCG